TAAAAGAGAATACGGAAATTAAATGGCGTAATAACTAAACTTAACGAAAATAACTAAAAATAATAAAAACGGATATTCTAATGCTTAAATGAAAATGAACTAAAAAGGAAAGACAATATTGAAATAAAGCTTAAAGAAAATCGGTGTAAAACAATGGAGAAGAAAGCGCTGGGGTTCAGGGAAGTTTTCTCAGGGGTACGAACGATTCAAAACATTGCTAGAGAGTAAATTTTGTAAGATCTTAGCTTAAACTTTTCGAACTGGAGTCACGGACGTATGAATACGCCACTGTCGTGATCATAGACAACTATCTCTCTCAATCCTGACCAGTAGGTTTCCACTCTGGCCCTGGAAGAAAAGAGATGCATTATGTTTAAGACTCGTCCTAATTCACAAATCGCCCATAGGTAGGTTTCCACTCCTATGTTTGTTTTGCTCTCCCAAACTAGATCTGATACCTGATGAACACTTTCGTGTCACCAAGCATCTGGATCAGATTGTAGTTCATGACGCTACTCTCATGCAGTAAAAACGAATTCAGAAGAAAAAGTTCTAAGATTCAGCTCAATAGCCAATGGAATCCTCACCGAACATATAAATCCCCATCGAAAATCCCTTAATCCCAACAATAAAACTACTCAGACATAATGAACGAAATCAAAGACATAATATTAAGAAGTAGAATAGAAACCGAAATTGAAGAAGAAAGAACAAGGGTTCAAGAACAAATCTCCCTCTCCCTAAAAGCTAAAGCAAAAAAAATAAGAATATGAAGTAAATATTTCGGTGGTGATAGGTTACACGATTTCTAGGGCTCCTAAGACATGTTTTATAGTGCTCAAGACCTCTCAGGACGTCACTTAGGGTTTCTCCAAATGTGGGCTTCAGAAATGGGCTTTTTGGGCTCGGAGGTTGAAGGCCGCGGTCGGGACAAGTGTGACCGCGGTGGATGAGTGGTTTGCCGCGGTCGGGATGCTCCTGACCGCGGGAAAATGCTTGTTGGCCGCGGGTGGAAGTGCTGGCCAGCTGGTTTACGGGACATCTTGCTCTTCGCGTATCTTTTGATTGAACCGTTGGATTGCCAAGCTGTAAAGTGCACCGGAAAGCTGATACTTCCATCTTTAAGGTCTCCAAATTTGAGCTGGATCAGACGGTGAGAAGGCCTTCAATCAGGGGTGAACTTCTGACGGTTTGACTCTGAGCTGAAATCTGGTTTTCTATCCATTTTGTTAAGTTTTTCCCTAAGTTTCCTGAAAAGAGTCTTGGAACTATAAATACTAGAAAAACGTAATAAAAGTACTTAAAAGCAATTAAAAACATAGAAAAAGTATTTCAAAACGATCCATAAAAGTGGTCAAAATACGGTGTTATCAATGAGTTAGTGTAAATATAAGAAGAAGTATAGGGTTTAGATATTAAGTATAGGAGTTAATTGTTTAAAAAATTATGAAATCATTAGATGATAAAAATATTTGTTATTTTGCATATTTGTCGGTGTGAAAGGAAGATGTAAACCTTTTTTTTTTAATTTTCCAAATCCTAAATCTTAAATATACATATAAATACTACAGTCGTGGGAAATCCATCGGAAATGACTAATTCTGTCACAAATCCGTCAGAAATAACTACTTCCGTCACAAATCCGTCGGAAAATTCTGACGGATTTCCGACGGATATTTTTTTAAAAATGGTTTTTGGTTTGGAAACATGGATTTTAGGTTGAAAAATTTATTCAAAGTATTTACAAAAACATTTTTTAATGTGTGGAATAAATTTTTACATACTTAAGTTTCAAAAAGACCTTAAGAAAAAAATATAGAAAATATCTGTGATCAGAGAATAATATAAGTTGTGTTTTTTAAAAAAATATTGTTCTATCTTTTTTTTTTTAAACCGTGTAGCTTGCACACGGATGCGGAGGACGAGGTTCGGGTGCCGGCGGTGCAGGTTGTGATGGAGGCGGAGATAATGTAGATTGGTCTCCCGTGTTGGGAACCTGGGTGGCTCCAGAAGATGACGGGATCTCGGAAGCATCCGAGGAAGACGTTCGAGACCCGGAATGTCCATCTCCTATAAAGTTGATGTAATGAGTTCTCTGCGGCGGCATCTGAAATTTTTTTTTCAAATTAAAATTAATTTCCGAACCTAGTATCTAATTCCAAACCTAAACTAATTCCAAATTTAATTCTGAACCTAAACTAATTTCGAACCTAAACTAATTATAACTAATATTGAAAAAAAAAACACTTACATTGGTTAATGAAGGAGGATAGGATGGTCTAGAGAGAAGGAGGAAAACTTCTAGAGAGAGAGAAGAAGGAGAAATGAGCGACAAAGATGGGAAGGGTGGTGTTCTATATATAGTTTTTATATTCGTCGCAAATCCGTCGTACATTTATGACGACTTTTTCGATGAATTCGTCGTAAATCCGACGCATAATGCAACTGATTAGAATATCTAATAAGACAAACACATGTGGCACATGGTGAATTAAACGTAGAATTTACGACAAGAACAGCATATCGTCGTAAATTCGTCGTAATATTGATGTGTCGTGTGGTGAGGGTGTCAAGTTTTACCCTAAATGAAATCAATAGCTGCAAGTGCACAGCTGATCGATTGTAGTACTTAGGGATCGAATCCACATGGAATGAGGATCTTTCCTGCAAAAGCCTTCGAAAGAAATGTGAAGTAAGGAAGTCTAGAACCAGGCAACTTTTGTAGGAGTTTTGGTGGTGTTTTTAAAACATAAAAATTAATCTTAACGGGAAAATACGGAAATTAAAATGACCTAATAACTAAACTTAAAGAAATCGACTAAAAATGAGAAAACGGCTAGACCTAATTGCTTGTATGAAAATCGGCTGAAAGAGTAAAAATCTAGACTAAAACTTAAATGAAAATCGATGTAAATCTATAGAAAAGAGGCGCTGGGTTTTCAGGGAAATTCTCTCCGGGGGATGAACGATTCAAAACATTGCTAAAGAGTAAATTTAATAAGATCCTAGATAAAACTTTTACAACTCGAATCACGAACGTATGAATACGCCACTGTCGTGATCATAACCAATTATCTCTCTCAACCCTGACCAGTAGGTTTCCACTCTGGCCCTGGAAACGAAAAGATGCAGAAAGCTTAAGACTCATCAATATTGACAGCTCTCCATAGGTAGTTTTCTACTCCTATGGTCGATCTGCTCTTCTCAAACTAGATCTGGCTTCGAATGAAAACTTTCACAACACCCAAAACCGGGATCAGATTGTAGTTCATGACGCTACTCCCATGCATTATAAATAAGTTTAGAAGATAAAGTTTTAGGATTCAGCTTCAATAGCTAATGGAATCCTCATCGAACATATATAGCCCCCATCGAAAATCCCTTAAACCAAACAATAAAACTACTCAGACATGATGAACGAAAGCAAAAACATAGTATTAAAAAGTAGAACATAAATCAAAAATAACAGAGAAATAAAAAGGGTTCAAGAGATAGATCTATCTCCCTAAACCTAAAACAAAAACTTTAAGTTGTATCTCTCTAAAGTATTTCGTCTCTCTTTTAAAAATGACCTAAATGATAAGTATTTATAGTTTCTAATGCTCCATTGTCTCTAGGGTTCCGGAATTGAAGCTGAGAAAATGACTTGAGCTTCAGAAATGGGCCTTCTAAATCGGAGATGGCTGGCCGCAGTCGGACAGGACGTGGCTGCGGTGAATGGATGCTTGGACGCGGTCGTATAGCATCTGACCGTGGTGAAAAGGCTGTTGGCCGCGGGTGGAAATGTTTGTCGGCTGGTTTATGAGACATATTGCTCTTCGTGCAATTTTTGATTGAACCGTTGGATTACCAAACTGTAAAGTGTGCTGGAAAGCTGATAGTTCTATCTTTGAGGTCTCCAAATTTGAGCTGGATCAGACAGTGAGAAGGTCTTCATTTGAGGGTAAACTTCTGACGGTTTGACTCTGAGCTGAAAATTTGGTCTTCTATCCATTTTGTTAAGCTTTTCACTAGGTTTCCTGAAAAGAGTCTTGAAACTACAAATACCGGAAAAAGATAATAAAAACACTTGAAAGGAATAAAAAACATAGAAAAAGTATCTCAAAACGATCCACAAAAGTGGTCAAAATACGGTGTTATCAAATATTACAACGAATTTACGACGAACGTTAAAATATCATTATTTACAAAACGGCTGGTTTATGACGATCGTCGTAACGTAATATTAAGACGTATTTTTGAAAATTTGATAAAATGAAAAAAATAAGTACTACAGCGCACATCTGTGCACTTGCAGACATTTAGGGGTTATAAATTTAAAACTTGAAGCTTAGTAAAACGACAACAACAACCCTGATTTTGTTTGCAATCAAGTTTTTGGCGCTGTTGTCGGGGACTTTGATTTGTTTCGTTGCAATCCCAGCTTAAATCCATTAGAACACTGGTTTACTTTTATTTTTTCTTTTGAATTTTTCAGGTTTTTCCGTAATGAGAGACCGGGAACATATCCCCGGAACTCTCGGTGATCCACCATATCGTGTGGATGGTGACCCGATCGAAGATGACCTGATTGATGATGAGTTTGATGATCCGATCGATAATGATGATGAGCTGATTGGATCAGCAAGATGTGAAGATGATGATGAGCTAATAGGAAGTTTCGATTCACTCGAACAGTTTTTGGGAGATCGAAGACCTATTCAACCAGCTTTACCAGAGGATGGTAAAACCGAAATCAAGGTACCCTTCATCTACTTAGTTCAACAAAATCAATTTTATGGTTATTCTTATGAACACCCGATGGACCATATCGAGACGTTCGAAGGATTATGTGCAACCATTACAGCAAATGAGGATTACCACAAGTGTACTTTTTTCCCATTCTCTTTGAGAGACAATGCCAGCAAATGGCTAAAATCTTTGCAACCTGCTTCACTAAAAACGTGGGCAGCATGTAGAACGGCTTTCCTAAATCGTTTTTACACTAGAACTCGTTCCAATCTCTTAAGGAACAAGTTAAGAACTTTTAAACAGAAAGAAGATGAAGATCTTTTTGATGCTTGGGAAAGATTTAGATAATACCAGAGAGATTGTCCACACCACGGCTATTTCGACGAATACCTTATGGGTATCTTGTATCGAGGCGTAACTCAAGAATTGCAGCATTCTTTCGACACCGCAAGTAATGGAGACTTCTCAACTAGATCCGTAGAAGATGCTCGAGTTTTCATCAACAACCTGGCAGGAAGCATCCGTAATCAAGCAATCTTTAACAAATCTGCACTTCCTGAGAAGAAAGAAGAGATCTCGGAAGTTATGAAGTGTCTCCATCAGATAATGAGTCAACTTGGATTGCAACAGCCAAACAAGGTACGCATTATGTGTAACTTTGACGGTTGGAACAACCCAATAGATTCTTATGATCAAGAGATGATGAACACTGCAGAAGTCTATCAAATTCAAGAATTTCCCTTCGTGCCTGATCACTGTGGGTCCATTCATTTGGACCGCGAGAAAACGTGATTTCACCATGGTCGTGACTTCCCTGACCGCGACAAAGACCTATTCCACCACGGTCGCGAGTCATACGACCACGGGAAACCCTCTTCCAAAAAAATCTGGGCTGTTCAATCTAATTCCATTCCCTATCATAGTTTTCCCTCTTCTGAAGCTGAAAACCTAAACAAAAGAATTCTAGAGCCAGGGAAATCAGTGATCTTAGCTCTGAAATGAAAAAAATGCAAGAAGATTTAAATGATAAATTTTCTACCCTCCTTAGCCTGATGATCAAAAATAAGTCTAAGAACATAGATAATTCCGAGGAGGAGCCAAGTGAAAGTTCTTTCGAAAGCTCAAGCGAAGCCGACCCCTTCGATCATGTGAAAGCTATCACACTTAGGATTAGTCTAGCTTACAAAGAGCCTGAATTTCCTAAAGATCCCAAAGATGAGGAAAAGGGTAAGGAAAAGGAAAAAGAAAGAGAAAGAGTCACGATAGAAGACATTGAAAAAGAAGTGGTACGAGAGAAGGATGGAGGCGAAGTAAGAGAAGATACATCCCGAGAAATCCTCGGAGAAGACCTGATCCCCCCCCCCCTCCACCAACTCGTATATACAAACCTAAACCACCCTATCCTAGAGCTTTAAGAGCCCCTAAGAAAGAGAAAGAAAAAGCTAAGCTGAAAGAGTTGATCGATCAATTAAATGTGAGATTACCTTTTGTAGAAGCTTGTGCTATGATTCCCGCTTTAAAGAAATACATGAAGGGTATTCTAACAATTTATTTAACTCTTGAATAAGGCGTTATGATGATAACCCATGAATGTAGTTCTATCCTGCAAAGCTGGATTCCTCAAAAGAAAGACGATCATGGGAGCTTCGTACTTTCCTGCACCATCAATAATGTAGCTTTTGAGCGTGCTCTCTGTGATTTAGGATCTAGCATAAACATGATGCCTCTTTCAGTAGCAAAACTGTAAGGAAATCACACTTTTCAGCCCACTAAAATTTTCTTAGTATTAGCTGATCGTTCTGTTAGACAACTCGTAGGTATCTTAATAGATGTTCCCGTCGAATTCAAAAAATGTTCCATACAAACTGATTTTGTAGTTCTAGAACTAGAAAGAGAACCTAAGGATCCCCTTATTCTTGGACGACCATTATTATCTACAGACGGAGCCATAATCAATGTTCCTGAAGGAAAAATTGACCTTCGTCTAGCCGGTCTAGTTATGCAATTTGACATGAACAAAAGTTCTGATAAACCAACTTTGAATGGCAAAATTTGTTGGATTGATGAGCTCGATGGAATTATTGAGGAAGTCTATGAAGATCTAATTCTTGAAGACCCTTTAAGTGTCACGCTTTCAACCACAAAAGATGAACGCAATATCCTTAAAGAAATTTCGAGTGAATGTGCGCGTATGCTAGATAAGTCTGAAACTTATAGGAAACCTCTAAACTATCTAACTCTTAAGGACCAAACAAACATTCCTACACCTCCTAAAGACAGAGTCGTAGAAATAAATGATCCTTGGAGTGAGCTTAAAGCCCCTAAAGTCGAGCTTAAACCTCTTCCCGTCGGACTTAAGTACGCTTTCCTTGGACCAAATTCTACTTATCTTGTCATTATAAACTCAGGTTTGACAGAAGAAGAAACCACAATGCTGTCTGAGTTGAGAACGCATAGAAAAGCCTTAGGATATTCACTTGATGACATACCTGGAATCTCTCCAGATCTTTGTATGCACAAGATTAGTCTAGAGGATAATGCTAAAAACTCAGTCGAAAGTCAAAGGAGACTGAACCCTAATCTCATGAATGTTGTCAAGAAGGAGATTATGAAGCTTTTAGAAGCCTGAATAATATTTCCTATCTCAGATAGCACTTGGGTTAGCCCAGTTCATGTTGTCCGAAGAAAGGATGAGTCACTGTCATTAAAAACGATAAAGATGAGATGATCGCCACAAGAACAGTAACTGGACATTATATGTGCATCGATTACTGGAAACTGAACTCAACAACTAGGAAAGATCATTTTCCATTTCCCTTCATAGATCAAATGCTAGAAAGGTTAGCTAATCACCCCTACTATTTCTTCTTTGATGGATACTCCGGATTTTTCCAAATTCCTATTCGGCTGAAGGATCAAGAAAAAAAAAAGACATTTACCTGTCCATATGACATGTTCGCTTATCGACGAATTCTTTTTGGATTGTGTAATGCACCTGCTACCTTCCAGCGATGCATGATGTCGATCTTCACAGACTTTATCGAAGATTTCATGGAAGTATTCATGGATGACTTCTCCGTCTATGGATCTTCTTTTGAAAAATACCTAGCCAGCCTTGGTGAAGTTCTGCAAAGATGTAAAGATAATCACTTAGTATTAAATCAGGAAAAATGTCACTTCATGGTACGAGACGAAATCGTGCTTTGGCACAGAATTTTGGGAAAAAGAATTGAAGTTGATAAAGCAAAAATTGAAGTCATGACAAGCCTACAACCCCCTACACACGTAAAAGGAATTCGTAGTTTCTTAGGACACGCAGGATTCTATAGGCGCTTTATAAAATATTTTTCTCAAATAGCTAGACGTCTTACGCGTTTGCTTTGCAAGGAAACAAACTTCAAGTTCGATGATGAGTGCTTAGCCGCGTTTCATAAGATCTAAAAAGCCCTTGTTTCCGCTCCAGTCGTGCAAGCACGTGATTGGGAACTCCCATTTGAAATCATGTGCGATGTAAGTGACTATGCAGTCGGAGCAGTGCTTCGCCAACGAAAATATAAGAAACTGCACGTAATCTACTATGCAAGCAGAACTCTAGATGAAGCTCAAAGAAATTATGCAACAACAGAGAAAGAACTTCTAGCTGTCGTATTTGCATTTGAGAAATTCCGTTCTTATCTTGTAGGATCTAAGGTTATAGTTCATACTGATTCATGCGTCTATTAAGTACTTAATGTCTAAGAAAGACACTAAACCGAGATTGATAAGATGGATCCTCCTACTGCAAGAATTCGACATCAAAATTCAAGATTGGAAAGGAGCAGATAATGGAGTTGCAGACCATCTTTCACGAATTCGAGTTGAAGAAAGATTGCCTTTAAACGATAGTTTGACAGAAGAAACATCTATGCAATAGAAGCAGTTCCGGCCAATGCAGCACCACCACATAAACTCATGCAAAGGTCAGATGCTTTCAATACCTCATGGTTTAGGCACATAGAAAATTACCTAGCAGCTGATGTAGAACCACCACAATTTTTTGGTTATAGGAAGAAGAAATTTCTGCGAAATATAGGACATTATTTTTGGGATGAACCTTATCTCTACAAGAGATGGGCTGATGGGTTATTCCGAAGATGCATGGCTGAAGAAGAGATGGAAGGAATTTTATTTGGATGCCATGACTCGTCTTACGCAGGACACTTCGCAACATTCAAAACCGCTTCAAAGATCTTACAAGCAGGTTTTAAGTGGTCTACCTTGTTCAAAGATACTCAAGCTTTTATATCGCGATGCGATAAATGCCAAAGGATGGGTAACATAAGCAAAAGGAATGAGATGCCTCAAAATTTTATTCTCGAAGGCGAAATTTTTGATGTCTGGGGAATAGATTTTATGGGACCATTTTCTACTTCTTTTGGGAACCAATACATCTTAGTAGCTGTAGACTACGTCTCTAAGTGGGTTGAAGCAGTCGCTAATCCCACCAATGATGCATAAATTGTCATGAAGCTGTTTAAATCTGTTATATTCCCACGTTTTTGAGTTCCTAGAATTGTGATAAGCGACGGAGGATCGCATTCCATCAACAAGGTTTTCGAAAATCTTCTAAGAAAAAATGGAGTTACGCATAACCGTTTTCCTGTTTTTAGTCGACTTCATTAGGTTTAGTTATTAGGTCATTTTGATTCTCGTATTTTTCCGTTAAAGTCAGTTTTTACGTTTTGAAGACACCACCAAAACCCATACAAAAATCGTCTGGTTCTAGACTTCCTTGCTTCACATTTCTTTCGAATGCTGTTGCAGAAAAGAACCTCTTTCCCTGTGGACTTGATCCCTAGGTACTACAATTGATCAGCTGTGCACTTGCGGCTTATTGATTTCATTTAGGGTAAAACTTGACACCCTCACACACGACCACATCAAGTTTTTGGCGCCGTTGCTCGGGAAGGCACGCATTTCCTTTTCCGCAAAACCCTAAGAAAGGTTGGTAAATCGACTCTAGAACCCTTTTTATGTTTATTTCCATTTTTTTAATTCTTTTTGTTTCAGTTCCCCAAGCAATGGACCCTATAAATTGAAATCCCTACTATGAAGGAGATTTTACAATACTCCTCAAGCCACTAGACTCAGAGAAGAGCAATACATATGCGACCTCTTCAACTCGGTTCGGAACTCAAATCCGAACTACAGAGCATTCTTGGACAACCCCTACGCGCCTCCAGTGGTAAACCCTAGACCCCCTATGCATTGCCTATCTCACAAAATCCTCCAGCAGGATGAGAAAGTCCAGATCAGTAATCGATTGGAGCAGCTTGAAGCCACTATCAAGCAGTTCATTGAAGCTCAAGCCGTTATTACAGCCGCTCTTAACGAACGG